CCAGCCAGCCGTCCGTCGTAATTAATTGGGCCCACATCCTCTATAATTGCTCCATTTTCGTTGCTGACGTGGCCAATCGGCGCCCACGGCAGACAGTTATCGATTTCTACACGTTCAAATTTTAACTGTTTTGTACACATTTTTTATAAGCAGTCACGCTTTTGTTGCTGTTTCCTTTCTCTGACGATGGACTCCTGTACCAGTTCGAAAGCTCGGAACAATAAATAAATCAATGCGATGTTCGACCAAACGTTAAAAGTGAGAAGGAAAATGGTCAGTGATTAGATAAAAGTCATTTTTACAGTGGGGCCGAAGCCTCTAAACACAGCTCCATTTCCTTTTCGGCTTCTCCTCGGACGCCTTCTCCTCGGCCGCCTTCTCGGCTTCCTTCTTTGCCAGGACAACATCGACCGCCAGCTGAAAGAGGCTTTCTACATTGGACTGAGTGTATGCTAGGCGAGATTTTAAAAAAAAGCAATCATCAAATCGGAAGAGTAACCAACCAGAACACTCAATGTAGGCTTCTGCCCCCATGAACTTGGCCTTTTCCTTAGCCTTCCTGGTAGGCACCAGGCGCAGCTGAGTTTGGCCACCACCGGTTGCTTTTCGGAGGTCACTTTTTGTGCCCACTAGGATGACCGGCGTTCCCGGCATGTGTTGCTTAATCTGTCTGCAGTTTAGAGTAGGCCAACAGGCACTGCATTACCTCTTTAAACCAGACGTTTTTTGCGCTCCGTAGGCTCTTCTTGTCGGCTATGGAGAAACAGATCAGGAAGATGTCCCGTCGGCGGTAGGAGTGCAAACGCAGTGTCTGATGACGGTCAAGTGCGCGGGCATCGGTGAGATAGAGGTTGATCTGGCCAATGAGGGGGAGGTGTAGAAAGCGTAAATTGTGTATCTTACCAGCTTCTCGCCGGCCTCCTTCGAATGCACTTCTATTGGATATTCATCAAAAACCGGAACTATGTAGGGATTGGTGAAGCCCTTACTGGCGTAACAATGTAACAGTGTTGTTTTGCCGACCGCGGCGTCACCTACCACCATCACGTGAACGGAAGTGGATGTCATGATAAGGCCAAACCTCTTCTAACTGAAGTTCTGACTCCAAAAGACGAAGGAAGGGCGGAGAGGGATAGAACGTTAAATTACGAGTCGACGATAACTTACTCGAAAAAAAGAACATGAATTAGACTTAATTAGATGTATATTTTTGAACAGCAGACTGGCCTGGAAAAAGTGAGCGAAAATTTCCAAAGAAGACAGAAAATATTCTAGCAATGGGCTCAATTAAGCCAGGCGATTTGAATGACAACAGATAATTTGATTAGCCGATGCGACACTGAGGAGGCCCTATGCGTTGCCGCCTGTACTGGTTCTTTGTTAATTTCTTTAGTCTTATATCGCCATTTTTCAAAATTCCAAAGCTACCGACAGTCAGACATGACTCACGCTGAAGTAGTTAGAGGAAGTATTCTTCTAGTTAGGTGTGGTCAACTTTGGCAAATGGCTGAACTGCTGGGCAATCAACTTGGACTCCAAGGTACCTTATTCCTATTAAATTAAAATCCAGCAAATAAATTTTTGTGGTATTTAATTATAGTTATGGATTTGAAATAACTGTTTAAAGCAAATACATCCATAAAACTCCTTTCAAACTACATGCTTACAAATGGCCATTTCAGCGTCGTAAACAACTTAAATAAATGTGGGTTTTGGCTGTCAGGGGCGGTCTTTAATCTAGCGGTTGAACACTAGCGGTCTTCGCTAAGTATCAACCGAAATTTTGGGCTCGTTATGTCTATGACACTTTCGTCGTTGTCAAAATATCTGAC